GGCACCGGCTGGGAGCGGCGGCGCAGAGGAGGCGCGCACAGCAGGGCGCGGGGGCCTGGCGGCGGCGGCGTCTGAAGCGCCGCAGCGGGCGCGCAGCCCAGGCACAGCGGGGCGGCGGGCCCCGGACACGCGTGCAGGCCGGCGGCTGGCTCTCCACGCAAGCGCCGTGCCGCGACGCCGGCGCCGATGAGGCGTCCAGGCTGACGCAGTGAGAGACCATGCTGGCCCCTCAAAGGCCGCGGGCGGCTCGCCCCCGCCGCACGCGCGACCGCGCGCCTGCAGCGCAACAGCAGGCCGCAGGCCGCGGGCCGCGGGCCGCGGGCCGCAAGCTGCTGCACCGCGGCGCCCCCCCCGCCGCCGCCGCCGCCGCGTCGCGCCTCACTGGCTGCGTATCAGCAGCGGCGTGTACGTTTCGCTGCCGTTCCCGATCGCGCCGTTCGGCAGGCCGCGCGCGGTGGCGCTCTTGGTCGCCTCCTGCGCCACGTCGGCCCAGCGCCGCCGCCGCTGCTCCTCCAGCAGGCGCTGGTGCTGCTGCTCCTCCTCCCACTGCTGCCGGCACTCCTCAAACAGCTGCTCGTCCAGCTCCTGGGGTGACGCGCGCGTATGTGTGTGTGTGAGTGTGTGTGTGTGTGTGTGTGTGTGTATGTGTGTGTGTGTGTGTGTGTGTGTGCGCGCGTGCATGCGTGTGCGCGCGTGTGTGTAAGAGAGAGAGACAATGCGCGCGACCCCTGCACATGTGCGTGCATGCCGGCACGAGCACGTGTGCAAGAAGGCCGTGTGCGAGCAGCATACGCCACTCCAACGACCGTCACAGACCCAAGCGCTTCGACGCAACCCTCTGCACAGCCGGTAGCGCCGCGCTGCGCCGCGCCGCATCTGCGGCCTGCTCGCCAGCCCCTCCCCTGCGCTGCCGCAGGCCGCGCCGCCCCGGCCATCCCTCGGGCCGGGCCTCACCTGGAACATCTTCCGCACGTTGAGCGACAGCCCATGCACCGCCGGATTCCAATGGTTGTCCGCATTGTCCTGTTTCATTACGACATTTTGGTATAAGAGGCAGGGGCGCGTAAAGGGCGGACGCGGCGCCAGGAACGCCGCCCTCAGAGGTTCGGCTCACTGCACGGGGCGCGGCGTCGGCTGCGGCGCCACGAGCCGTCACTCGTGGCGGGGCCACACCGCCCGCGCCGCCTGGCTGCGCCCGCCGTCCCCTGCAGCGGCGCGGGCGACGGGCTGCGTCCTGCTTCAGGATCCAGGGCTGTTTTGAAACCATCAACCAAGGGGACTCCACACAACAATACAAGGGGCCCCTGTGTCGTGCGCACCTGCAGGGGCCCGAAGACCATGGGCAGCACGTCGTGCCTGAACTGCGCCACAAGGCTGACTATGTACTCGTTGTTCCACAGGAACAGGGAGCGCTCCGCGACCTGTGGCGAGGTTAGGTGTGTATGTAGGGTGGAGTGTGTGTGTTTCGAATGTGTTGTGCGGTGTAACTGTGTGTGTCCTTTTGTGCTTGCGTGCGCGCGCGCGCGCGCGTGTGTGTATGTGTGTGTGTGTGTGTGTGTGTGTGTGTGCGTGTGTGCGTGCATGCGCGCGCGCGTGTGTCTGCATCACATCACACACGAACAGGCGCCGCCGCTGAGCCTGAGACAGCCGCCGCACGGCCCCCAGCCGAACCCGCCAGTGGCAGCGCGCTCCTGCCACCCCGGCGGCGGCCGCACCTGGAAGTGGGCGCTGGTGAGGCACCGCGCCAGCTGGCGGAAGAGGGGTACCAGCACGCGCTGGAACTCCGCCGGCTGAGTCAGCTCCAGGACCTCCTCCAGCTCCCCTGGGGCGGTTACACGGGAAGATGGGAGGACGATAAACAGGCACGCGGGCGGTTGCAAACCGGGCGCGCAGGCGGCTACGTGCGCACAATTGCAGGGGGGAGATGAGCAGGGGCAATGACGGCTCGCTGCAGAAGGGCGTGGCGCTCCAGACAAGGCAGAGACTACAAGCCCGTTGTAACCAGCGGCAGGGGTCAGCCGCGCCTGCCCAGGCCTCCGCTGGCAGGCGTTGTGAAGGCCCTGTTGACACGTCCAGTTCCCAGCCCGCTGGGACGCCAGCACCGGCGCGCACACGTGCAGCCAGGGGCAGGCGGACGGCGGCGCGGCGCCCCGGGCGTTGCGGCACTCACCCAGCAGCAGCACCTCCTTCTGGCTGTTGGTAACAGGCCAGAACTTGAGCAGCTGCCGCAGCACCGGGTCCGCCAGCTTCGGGTCCTTCTCCACAAACTGCAGGAGGGATTGGCGTTTAAGATGTGTGTATGCGTGTGTGTGTGTGTTTGCACGCGCGCGTGTGTGTATGTGTGAACTTGGTTGGTTGTGAAGGGAGCAGGCATCTGTGGAACTCGGATCATTGTGTAGGGAGCAGGCGTCTGCGGAGCCACAGTGTCAGCAAGAATGCCCGCCGCGTGCTGTTTTGGGGTCTTGGCCTGGGGCAGTCAACTCAGGGCCACACCTCTTGACTCATGTATGACACGGTGACCGCGCCTGCACTCGCCCCAAGCAAACAAAAGCCAGGGGTGCACAATGCAGCATCTCTGTGGCTGCTGGTGCACGTGTGCCGCCCCGACCCGATTCTGCCTCAGCCACAACCACGCAGCTGCCAGTGATCCATGCGGCTCTCAACCCCCCAACCCACCGGCCCAGCGCCGCCACTACCAGCCCACCCTGCTGCCCCGCAAGTGTCCAACCCCTCCGATCAATGGCCCCCACCACACCCCGCCAGCCCCACCCTCCCACACCCTCCCCTCCTTCAACCCACGTTTGCGCGCAACCCCGACCAAAACCAAACGCATCCTTACCAATACGCGTTGTTCCAAGCTGACCGGTGTGATGCAGCAGGCGAGCTTGTCGTGGTGGGGTGCGGATGGGTGGGATTGCACCCGGGAAACAGATGCATGTACGACCCCCTGCCCCCCCCCCCAAAAACACACAAAGCGCTGACCTGTGTGACGCAGTATGCGAGCTGCTGGTGGTACATGGCGACGCACTTGGGCTTGTGCAGCGGCATGAGCGCGCGCACCAGGAACGCCTTGTGCTCCTCCTTCAGCGGCAGGGCAAAGCCGTTGATGATGGAGCCCTGGGGGTGGGGGGTGCGTGCGTGCATGCGTGTGTGTGTGTGTGTGTGTGTGTGTGTGTGTGCGCGCGCGCGCACATGCGCGCGTGCGTGTGTGTGTTGTCGGAGAGTGTGAGTGTGTGCTTGCGTGTGAGCGTGAGCATGCGTGCGTGTAAAAGAGCGAGAGCGAGCGCGCGCGCGCGCGCGCGGGAGAGAGAGA